TAAATAAGAATCACAAAAATTGTAATATAATTCTAATACTTACTTGAATTTAAAAAACTACAATCATGTGGATTATTTTTAGCATTGTTTATACTTCTAGATAGATCGATTGAAAATTTTTTATAACTATTATCACAATAGTCTAAGATGAATTTAGAACATGATAACAGAGATAAAATAAATAAAAAACATGAAAATTACAATATTAATTCTACTACTTACTTGCCATAATTGAATTTACTAAAGAAAAAAAATCAAAATCACGTGGTTTATTTTCTATTCTAAACAAACCACTTATAAATTTTTTTATAACTATCTCTACAATAGCTTAAAAAGAATTTAGAATATATAGCAAAGATAAAATAAATAAAAACTACAAAATAGAGATACTAATTCTGCTACCTACTATAATCAGATTTACTAAAGAAAAAAATTACAAGTATATAGATTATTTTTAATAGTGGTATTGTTAACACTTTAAGAAAGCTTGATTAAAAATTCTTTGTAACCAATATTATAATAGCCTAAAATGAATTTAGAACATAGTAGAAAAGATAAAATAAAAACTATAAAATAGCTTTATTAATTTTACTTGAAAAAAACTATAGAGATTATTATTATGTTTAACTATAAAATTATTATTGCTTTTTATATTATCAACACTTCTAGATAGGCTGATTAAAAATTCTTTATAACTATTATCACAATAGGCTAAAATAAATTTAAAATATAGTAACAAAGGTAAAATAAGAACTACAAAAATTAATTTTACTGCTTACTTGCTACTAAAGAAAAAAACTACAAGCATATAGATTATCATTATATTCTACTGCAAGATTATTATTACTTTCAACTGTGGTACTATCATTATTTTTTATATTATTAATACTTCCAGATAGGCTGATTGGAAATTCTTTATTATCATTATCACAAAAGCCTAAGATGATAAAATAATAAGGACTATAAAAATAGCAATATTAATTTTACAATCTTACTTGATATAATTGGATTTACTAAGAAAAAAAAATACAAGCGGAAAGAAAACGAAATATTAAAAAGGAGTTAAAATTAGTAAGCAAAAGCAAGTATAAAGCTACCCGATTTTGCTACATGTCAACAAAGTGCGGAGTTTGAATATTTGCACATGATATTTGTTATGCTTCATATAAACAAGTGCATATACTATAGCAATAATTACAAGTTCTATTACTATAGCATTTAGTTTATATTTACAATTATATATTTTAATTAAATGTAATATATATATATATATATTTAAGAAATGTCTATTTTTACTATAGTAATTTGCTATTTCTACTATGAGTTATACAAAGATTTATAAGATTTTTTATTTTTAGTATTTATATAGTAAAAATTAGGTTTTTTAAAAATTAAAAAAAAAATTTAATAAGTAAACCTTTCTTTCAGCTCTAAGAAAAGTTGTAGTGGAGATTTTTCTAGTTCTAATAGTAGTTAAATCATTAAAATCAGCCTAGTAGATCCCAAGATA